TATATATATATATATATATATATATATATATATATATATATATATATATATATATATATATATATATATATATATATATATATATATATATATATATATATATATACGGAATTATGGCTAGAGTTTAGCTTATGTGAAATGAGACCTAGAATTTCAAACGATACAAAATCGTCATCAAACAGTGGTTGACACCACTGATGACGAAGAAAGTAGAGTTATGGTAATATTCAAGATGTGACAAGAATAGCAAGACACCTGAATAATATGTGGTTTATCGACAACAATTCCTTCTCCACAGGTGTTACAAACGGGTAAGGAATTTTGATTGTAACAAGAGATGCATATTATTCTATTATTTCTTCCAATATACCTGTAAATGACCAGGAAATCTGCACAGAATATAAAGAAAGTATCATTATCTGATACTGTTGAGCAAAACTGTGAAATACCTCTGCCCTCCGAGTTGAACACCACAGTCTGAGCATAAAAAATGTGCCATGTGCCATGTACTTCCTTCCGCTTCTGTACACTCTTCACTGAATATTAGCTGAAAATTTGCGGCATCCAATTTAAAACTTGGAACAGGAAAAAATGGAACTTCTCCAGCCATAAACTTCATCTTTTCCAAAAGGAAACAGTGAATATACCTGAGATACTTGAGATGAGATACTGAGATACTAAGAAAGTTCAAAAGATGTGGGAAGTAAAGATGATTTATGATAGACATAGAGATTTTTGAGACACAGATACGTTTTCGTCGATAATCATGGATCCAACTTTTTTTTTATCTAGGCAAACTAGCCCTGGTCGGTCAAGTAAGCAATGCACTAGCTGCAGTAATACATTAAATTCAACGTCAAAAGTAGAACCGAGGTGAAGTTTTGTAAACGTCATCAAAGAATTTAACGATGCTCGTCTTACAGCAAAGGTCAGCAGTCACAAGCGAGCATTTAAATGAAATTCTTGAACTATTAGTCGAATTTGAAGTATAGAAATTGCACTTCTTCTTTATCTGCCTTCACACACTCGTCCAGAAAAGCGGTGGATTAAGTTGTTCACTCGACCAGCAGTAGCACAATACTCCATTCATCGGAATAATGAAATAGTAGTCTGTGACACATGGTGCATAGATTTCCGACAAAGACACTTTGCTATGTCCAGTGAGTTTACAGGAGCTACTAGACTGGGTGGATGTGGAGTAATGACAACTGATACATTTAAGACAAAAATATTTAATAAAAAAAAAGGAAAACAGTAGTGCAAAATGTTGGTATGGAAATGAACTTGCCTCATCACATTTGGCACACCTAGGCTTGATCTGTTCTGCGTGATGCCGGCCGCAATATACGTCAACCCCATGCTTAAAATAAATCAAATCAACAAGGAGATTTGAGCACTTCGTGCAAACAAAGCATTGAGGATGCCAGTATACATCTCGTCCGAATCTTTCAGCACTGATCACCAAGTTCCCTTCACATAATAATCCTTTGCACTGCAATTCATTTAATTGAACAGGTCGATCTGGATAAAGCAGACCAATTTCAAGCGAGTTACATACAAAACTATTGGATTTACTCAAAATTTAGTGGCGAGATTAAAATAAAATGTGCTAATCCATTTAGAAGACTTCACAGATACCAGTGAGATATCGCTAAATCCAAAGTGTAAGCAAAAAAAGAAAAATTCAATGTCTGCAATCAAAGGATAACTGTAAAACCTGGTGGCAATGGCGTCGCCTGTTATCGTACGGGAGCTGTTCGATTATACCGCGTCCAAGACACTCACGTTTTCGACCCATTTCAAATTGCACTAATTCATATGCTTCTTTACTGCTCAACTTACCACAGTAGCCTACATCACAATCTTGCGGTGGTAACTGGTAATACAACTGGCGTGTTCGCCACTCTTCACCAGTCGAATTCACATAAGGTATTTTATCTTCTGGTAGGCAGGCAAAATACATATGAACCTGAATACGCAATTCATTTCATCTATGAAGATACAGGGATTTCAGGAATTGGCATTGGCGTTTTCCAGATTAGCAGAAAACAAAAACTCGTTGCTTCTGTTTCATGTAGAAACTCTATGATGCCAGGAAATTTATTTTACAAACTAACAAAAGTGAACTGCAAGCCAACTAGCCTCAATTTTTGTGGAAAAAAAAAGGAGAGATGCCGAGGGAGACAGAAACGAAGTTGAATGGTCGCAGTCTCACGAGTCATGCAAAGCAATTAATGATAACTGAAACCACAATCAAAACTACTTCTAATTCCGACTAAACTGTGAAACCAATCCACCAGAATATTTGAAACCAATCAAAGACTTGATAAAAGTCTTTGATTTTTAAAAGAAATTTTTTGTTGTCAAAAGACGTGTACAGAAAGAAGAAATGAAAGACCATATCAGGTTTGATGCCACTTGGTACCCAGGAGTATTCTTCCAGCACGCATCCACTGTCATCATCACTAGTGCTGTGACGGTGAACATCTGCCGCAATACGTATTCTGGATGCCGGTGATAAATATCCTCCACTCATTTCACACCTGGAATTGATTCTGTCCATATCTGCAAATTCGATAAATCTCCGTACGATACCAAAATGCTTTTTATATTTATAGATCATTAAATGTTATAATACCTTCTCTTTCAATTATTCAGAAATTGGCGAAATACTTATAGATTGGATGGAACATGCAGCACTTTGTAATGATAGTTTTTATATAAACAAAACACTACACAAGTGTCATAAACGTATACACTAAAGCATGCAACTGAATACAAATGATATTACTGGAGCAGGAATTTATTTTCCGGAGGACAAAGAATATCCATCCGGTGACGGTCTTTTACGACAATTCAGAATGCAGTTGAAAATGTACACTGTACACCTCGCCACTACTAAAAAGAAAAAAAAACAAGAAGGATGATGAAGATATAATCTTATGCTAATATTTCTATCGGTGAAGTGTTAAATACGCATGCGAAACAGGATCTACCCAACATTTCAATGTAGTAGTATTTTAATTATTTCATATTTTCTTAAAAGTTTGGTACAATTAAAGAAGTAGCGTAGTTGCTGAAATGAAATCAAGTTATGAATGAGACAAATGAATAAAATGAAATCTTCTTTCAAGGTTGAAGTCATAACCAAAGAAGTGCTGAGATTGTTTAGCGTTCTTCATTCATGAATTCTGGTCAGTAAACTTAATGAAAAACTTAAATCAAATTGCATCTAAAACAGTCGGCACTATTTGTGATAATATACCTTGAGGTATTAAAAATTATTTAAATATACTTACTTTAGTATTTATTCTAGTACATGGTGAAATTTCTTGGCATCCTCAACGACGAAGGAGTACTTGACAGCAGACGTTCTCATAAGTTGCGCAAAAAAATTCATGATGCGAAACTGATTACAGGACAGTGTCAAATATGTGATATTTTGAGATGATGTAATGACTCGACTGTATGAAATATTTTAGAGCAAAAGGGCAGGAACAAAACAGATCCTATGAACTTGGCTTACATATAACCTATACTTTCAAGAGAAGTCGATGGAGAAATAAGAGGCTAAGGAGGAAGAGCAAAAGGAGGAGGAAGAGAAATAGTGAACTGTCTAAAGAAGATCTCGTTGAACAACTGCATTATAGCTGTTATCAAGTTCCTCCAACGAGCAGATACCATATTATTTGATGATGAGTGGGAGGACATGTGAGCAATCTGGCGGTCCTTGTCGTTGCATAGGATACATCCGACACCCCCCTAATCCTGTTCAGTCGGATAATACTAAACAATAACGAACTACATTCTAAATTTCGTTTTTCGCAGGACTTTCCATCTCTTTTACCTTTACTGTTCAGCATTACATTATGCTTAAAGATTCGTAATAAATACTAAATCTGCGTTTTCGAAGAATTTTAATCCATGAAAGATTTAGAAGATACCGAAGATTAAAAAGCTTAAGAAGCTTCCCACCAAAAATTTATCACGATATCTACCAAAAATTATTCCCCCCGAAAGTCTTCTATGAATAAAAAGATGCTATTTTAATCAAGAGAACTGATAGGAAATACAGTAAGTATGCCTAAGGCATACCTATTAGAAATACAGTGAGATTAATTGATAATCGAGAACTCGACAACAATTGATAATTAATAATAGTAATAAAATTAATAATAATAATAACAAAATTAATAATAATAATAATAATAATAATAGTAATAATAATTAATAATTAATAATAATAATAATAATAACAATAATAATAA